AGTCTAATTATGTGTTTCTGAAGACACGAAATATACATCATCTTTATTGGAAAAATGTTTATGGAAGCCATACAGACACATCAGTAATTTTTATTTCACATCATATCCACATGCTATTCTACTTTCAAGCAAAATTTGGTGATGGTTAGTTGCCTGCTTTAAAAAGTAGAGCCCTTCAAAGTTGTTGTATTTTCTAAATAACTTTAATAGTACGTTTTGGGTGTTTGTTAAGAATAAAATACATTCATTGAGAAATGAACTGCCAAATACCTTAATGTTTCATTCGATCCTTCTTTATGGATAGTGCATATTTAAAATTTGTTTTAAAAGTTTAAAAATTACTTATTTATTAATAGTACATGCACAAAAAGAATATCAATGGATCAAAAGTATGCACTACAATTTATTTCTTATGATCTTATCTACCCCTTCTCGTGAACCAATTGTACTTTCAGTGAACTCTTTTATTGTATGCTTGCAAGATGATGAAAAATGGCTTGATTTGATTGAAGAAGTTGACAATGATCAAAGAAATGCAAACGTTAATAAGGTTTATGCACCCAAAGTGCATCGCAAGATCATATTTCTGGCCAGTAAGAGGATACTTGTTAGCGATTGACCGATAATTGCGTCGTGTACTCGTGTCAGCCATACGTTTCAACGGAAACTCTTAAACATCTTTATCGAGCTTTAGTCCAACCACACTTTGATTACTGCTCGATGATTTGGGGGTAACTGTGGCGAATCTTAAGAGGCAATCTTCAGAAACTCCAAAACTGAGCTGCAAAAGTTATTACGGGTGACTCATATGAAATATGCTCCATAGATATTTTAAAGAAACTAGATTGGAAAACGTTAGGTGAAAGAAGGACGGAGCAACAACTAAAATATGTATCAAAAGCACTTACATGCCAATTTCACGATAACATTTCGGACATGTTTAAACTATATAATTCAGATCGATATATGAATTAAAAATAACAAAAATAAGTTGATGTTGTTGAAGCCAAAAACAAATTCAATGAAACGAACTTTCGGTTATGTTTCCGCTAAAGTTTGGAATGAAAGAAATAAAATTTTTATATAATTTTATCTGGGTGGGGTTGAAGTGAATAATAAACTTTGAAGGTCTTTCTAATCTTATTTGAGTGGTTCGGGGAGGGTGGGTGCACGGGAATCTCTTATACTGTCTGTAAGTACACGGCCTAGTGAAAAGTAACGACAACCTTGCTAATATTTTTTTAGTTGATTAGCTACCGTGTTACAAGATGTTTTTAATAAAAAAGTAAATAAAAAATTATAATCAGAATCGGAACGATTTTTGCTTATTGTATTTTCCGATTGTGTAAAACCGATTGTTGAGAAAATACGCACTTATGTAAAAATCATATATATTGCGCGGTGATACACGTTGAAATGCACTTTTTTATGTGAAAACAACAACTCTGTTTAATCTCTTGCGCGAACGGTAGCGTGTTGTATAGTAGGTGTGGAGCAAACCGTTGCCGCGACGAAATAATACGTGAAGCGTGTCATTTATGTACAGGTTTAACGAACTTTGGTTGCTACTAGTAACATGTTACGTTGGAAACTATCATTAAATTCTTGAAATGGATTATGACGTCATAGATAATCAGAATCGGGTAGATTATTGGATGAATAATTGATAATAATCGGTCAATCACTAATACTTGTCGGGTTTCGGATGAGAACATTATTTCTAACATTGGTGTTCCAACAATAGTCACTGGGAGGCAGTACAAACTGCAGCCTAAAGACCAAGAAGTCTTACGCACATGGATAAACAGTAGTGATCTCTATATGTACTTCTTAAGGTAATTTGATATAAGAAATAACAGTTACTCTTGGAGAACATAATGTACTATTAAAAAAGAATGATAGAATCAAACATTAAGGTATTTGGCAGTCTCATTTCTCAATGAATGTATTTTATTCTAACAAACACCCAAAACGTACTATTAAAGTTATTTAGAAAATACGACAACTTTAAAGGGCTCTACTTTTTAAAGCAGGCAACTAACCATCACCAAATTTTGCTTCAAAGTAGAATAACATGTGGCTATGATGTGGAATAAAAATTACTGATGTGTCTGTATGGCTTCCATAAAAATTTTTCCAATAAAGATGATGTATATTTCGTGTCTTCAGAAACACATAATTAGACTTTTTGCTGTGCCATAACACATTACTGGTTGCAGATACAAAGATGAAAGTGCGATATTTGAAATATCCACATACAAATACATCTTTGTGCAAATTTTGATGGATATACCATGTACGGGTATCTTTAATCTTTAATCTTTCTAGAATTTCACATTAAATAGTAAATACTAAATACTAATTTACAATGTGAATTACATTTAAACTGTATAAAAAAAAATTAACTAAGACTAATGTTAAGAGTCAATATTTACAAGTAATCTTAAGGTGGCTCGATACAGTTTTCAAAAATTCAGGTGTTCAACACTTTGAAATGTTCAAACTATGCATTTTTAGAATATATTCAGCAGATATTGGGTTTTTTATATATTTCGATATCTCTACTTTCAAATTATATTAGTTTTAGTAACAGATAGTTCGTTGCTATGACGACATACGTGTACGAAATTCACTCCAAAATGGCCTTTCGTCTCGTATAGTTGGAAAAGAAGCATGGTGACCCCCAATTTTTTTTCTTGCATTATTTTACTTGGACGAAAAGCTAACAATTAGCAAAATATAAAAAAATTCTGTAATGCCATTTTTTTGGAAAATGCGAAAATGTCATATTCTTCGGTAAAATTTTTTTGGCATTACAGAATTTTTTTATTTTTTGTATAATGAAAGTTTTTAGCGGTGCAATACAGCATGCAAAATTTGAACATAGGTCACCAGACAAAATAAAGAGATATAGCGCATTGTTTTTCTAAAATGGAAAATTCTAATGACGTCAGCAATTGACATAAAACGCTATAGAACACGCGAAATGACGTGAGATGGCGCGAGCAGCTGCTTACGTCAGGTCATTTTGGAAGTTCTGTCATTTTGTTAATCAGTTTCCGCGACCTGCGCGTAAAAATGGTCACCCGCGGTTTTGAGTTCGCGATTCTTGAGCAGGGTTTTCGTGATAACTATATCGAGCCACCTTAAATAAAAATTTAAAATTTTTTGAAAGAATTCGATAAATTTACTTCGACTCCAGCGTTCGGTTAAAACATTCAATCCCATACACAATTGGGCTATTTTTAAATCGTTCAGTTCGATATCCAAAATTATACAGTTTTTCTCCATTTGATCTAGTTTGTCTCTGTCTTATTTAACTGTTTCTGGCAATAAACTGTGTAATCTATGTCTAGGGTCTATCATTGTTTTTATAAGTTTTCCGCACATCTCTTCTCTGCGAGCCTTTAATGTTTTAAGGTTACAGTCCAGTAACGCTTCTTCATAAGTCAGTCCAGGACAAATTGTCCTAAGCGCACGCTTCTGAACTCGTTCTATGTCAGTAGACTGTTCCTTGGTTAAGTTTCCATGCCAAATTTGAGCACAATATTCAAGTGTCGATTTTATGACAGCTATATAAAAGGCTTTTAAATCCTGTTTTGGTGCATTATAACCTTTTAACATCTTCAGAAAATACAGTCTTTTTACCGCTTTTTTAACAATATAGCATGTGTTGGTTGACCACTTCAAATTGTCATCAATCCATAAACCAAGTAATTTGTAACATTTAACCCTTTCAAATACATGACTATTGATTTCTAGCGGTGGAATAACAGTTACATTTTTCCGAAAGTCAATTATCATTTTTTTGCATTTCGTTTGATTTAACTCCATCATATCTTCTTCAGTAAACCTTAAAACGCTCTTAACTTTACTTTCAGCACCACCCAGTTGCTTCCCAGAAATATGGTGGCTGACATCTAGTACCTCGTATAATGTAGTGTCATCCATAAACATTAATGTATCATGTTCAAGTATAACATTAGTTTCCATGTTGGTTGATATCATGAGTTGAATTTCTTCTTTTATTACAGAGGGAAGTTTATCAATCTTTATTACCAAGGCAATTGGTCCGAGTTTACTTCCTTGTGGCACTCCGCCATTGATATATGCATAATCAGACATATCATTCCCAAATTTAGTAAAATGGGATCTTTTATTGAGGCATGTTCCAAACTATTGGATTAAGGCCAATCTAACTCCCATCTCTTTCATATTTCTTAGCAGTATATTATGATTAATTAGATCGAACGCTTTTCTAAAGTCAATTGCTCTATACCAGTTGTAGAGTAGATTTAGAAGGGCATACAAAGTCGAAGATCCTGGGAGCCCTCCATATTGGGAATTGGAAATTTTCCCATTTATATCTTCATTAATCCACTTGTTGGTAAAGGATTCCTGAACTTTTGATAAAACACTGGTTAATGCAATCGGTCTAAGGTTTTCAGCGATTGTACATGGTGTGATCTTAGGAATCCCAGTTACTTTGTACCGGGTGGCCCAAAAAAAAGTACTCCTGTTTGATTCGTAATAACATCTAAACAAGTATAGCTTTTAAAGAGAAATAACTTGCATCAAATAGAGGAAGGACTAACTTAGACTTTGATATATTACAGTTGTATTTCACTTAAAAATTCACGGAGATATTAATCTTTAAATTCGGGAGGATATTTCTGGATGTGTCTGAAATATGCAAAAATCGGCGTATCAAATATTAATCAAGATTTGCCCGACTGAAACATGCACTATTACCAGTAAATAAATGACACTTGACAAATTGTTTATTATGAAACAAAGTATTATTATATCTACAAAATACAAGCAAGATTCATTCGTCCGAAATTCGCGTGTGTTCCTAGCACGAATACGTTTCCTTATTTCATGAGACCACTGCATCGCGAAGGATCGTCATTGGATCGTTCGTAGTTCTGAATAGCCGGTTCCCCTTATTCGCGAAAGGCCGCAAAGGATTGTGGTAAATGTATTCAGCAAGCTCCAATATGGCGTCCAATTTTATTGACGAGGACCCATCTACTTCTAGCGTTATTTCTCTGTTATCTCAGCCAAACTCTAGTTCTTTTCAGAACTCTTGCACGAGTTTGGTTTCTGAGATACCAGTAGAAGGTTCATTTGATGTGGAAAACGTTTGTCCGAACAGTAATGTCGAAGGAAATGTTGACATCAATCAGAGTGGAAATGGCTGGACTCGATCTCTGATTAATCCTCCGGCCTTTGAATACGCGTTTATTCACGAGCATTTGGTGGAAAATTCGGAGACAATGCCCGATAATCGTCCTACTGGCGCCCATCGCCACAAGAAAATGGGATGTCGCTTATTTAAAGAGAATTATGTAAAAAATTTTCGTGTCAAACCGAATGTACAAGCCAACTCCAAACTCTTTTTGGTTAAGAGCCTTGTGTGCGCGTCCATGAAACAGCAATCATACACTGTCTATGTCCATCTCTCCCAAACAGATGGTAAGGTTGTAAAAGCAAAGTGTTCTTGCAAGGCTGGGGCTGGGGGGTGCTGTAAACATGTCGCAGCTACTCTGTTTCAAATACATGACTTTGTGGAACTTGGTTTAAGTGTTGTCCCTGATGACAAAAGCTGTACTGATGTTTTACAGCAATGGAATGTTCCAAGAAATATGGATACACACGGACCATTACTATTTACTGAATTGAAATTTGAAAAGGCTAACTTTAAAAGGGACAATAATAGTAAAAGGAAAAGACCTATTGTGTCTGCATCAAGAGATGGTTACTGTGCTACCCCACCCATGGCAAGGGAAATAAGTGTTGAAAGGATAACGAAATTGAAAGATAGTTTAACTGGTTCTAATACTCTTCTTAGTTCATTACTTTGTGACAGTGATTGCAAACCATGTACAATATTTCCAACTTCATTGAAAACTCCAGTAAATTGTGATGAGAGTTTAATCACAGTCGACCCAAGACAAGAGATTTTTGATGGCTTGGCACAAGAAATTGAGTGGAAACATGTCGATGAACCATGTCGCAGGTTTGTAACTGATGTTGTCTGTGTGTCAAAGGAGGAGGTAAAGATAATTGAGAAAGAAACTATGGGCCAATCTTCCAATAAGAAATGGTTTATAGAAAGACAAAAAAGACTCACTTCTTCTAACTTTGGCTCTGTGATCAAAAGAAGAATGCACATTTACCCAAAAAGTATTTTGAAAAAAGTACTTGGACATGAAAGATTGTCAACTCCAGCTTGTCACTGGGGATTAGAAAATGAACAAGTTGCAAAAGATAAGTACAATGAAAAACTTCCCAATGCTAAACTTTATGATTGTGGACTCATTATCAACCCACAATGGCCCTGGTTGGCTTGCAGTCCTGATGGGTTGAGTTTACTAAATGGCGAATGGTATGCAATCGAAATAAAATGCCCATTTTCAAAGAGGGACATGACTGTTGAAGAGGCATGTTCCGATAAAACCTTCTGCATGACCCTTATTGATGGAAAGCCAATGTTAAAAAAAAATCATCAATACTATTTTCAATGTTTAGGTGTAATGGCACTATGCCAGTTACCTTTTGTAGATTTTATAGTTTATACACAAAAAGAAATTTGTATAGAAAGAATTAATTTTGACAAACAATTATGGAACAAGAACATGCTTCCCAAACTCTCAGATTTTTATTTTAAATTTATGATGCCAGAAATTCTAAAGGCATGAGTTCAGTGAAGTAAATATTAACCCATTGAGTTGCATTGTGCCCTGATGCGCCCTACTTTAGTATTTTACTCTGTCTAACGCCAGACGATTTTACTCGTCAAGGGGAGAGCGCTGGCGCTTAATGGGTTAATATTGAACTAAATAATTATAACATTTATATTCTTACCAAGGGGTATATATAATAAATCACTACATAAAGTGAACCAAATATTATAAACTCAGAAATATCATGTTTATATGGCAAGTCTTTCCAATGTCACAACAGGTCACAGCAGCAAAATGTGATGTTTGTGCAACTAACTCACTAGTACTCTTGAGCCCTGGGCATGCAAACTATGAGACGTTGTGAAAACATTTGTGATTCTCAATGTTTCCTTGAATGTTTCCCTGTTTGCCCACCTGTGGAAACATTTTTGAGGAAACAAAATTTGCTTCCCGAGAAGCAAAGCTGTGTCGTAGCGAATTCAGAAACATTTGATGTTTCCCTATGTTTCTCACTAATGTTTCTAGTGTTTGCCCACTCTGGGAAACATTGGCAGGAAACAATGTTTCTACAACAACGTTTCCTTGTTTGCCCAGGGCTTTAGACTATAATACTCACTTAAGTCAACTAATGAATGCACTATGCAGGGCTATATAACAGAAGAATATATCTCTATTCCTAGGTCAACGTTCAAATTAGTAATGTGCAATTTGCACATCATTCTGGACCAAATAGTGAAAATTGCACATCAGTTCTCCAATAGCCTGTGTACAGCCCAAACGATGTGCAAAAAACATCAGACTTGTGACTATTAATGAACATGCATCCATACTGCACGTATCAATCTGCTGTCTTTATATAATTTATAAACAAGCACTTTTGCACGCACACTAGCAGCATGTTTGCCGACTGGAAGGTGTCAAATTCTATCCACCATGCATTGCAAACAATATTTAAAAAGTATTCAAATAATTAAATTATTGCAGTTTGATTGAGTAGATGTTTGACTGATTAGCTAAGACAATTATGAAAATATTTTATAAAAATTTAGAGCCACATTCTACATATAAAGAAAAGTTGCACATCATTTTTTCTCAACTGATTTGAACCCTGCCCTAGGTAAAAGATGCTCAATAGACTAAGAGCATCTTGTTTTATTTTATATACCTACTCGTTTTTTGGTAACTTACCATAACAGTTTTCATCTATTATGTATTACCATCACTGACTAAAGGAGGTAAAAAATTAACAAGGTAACAACAAATCACCCAAATTTTATTTAGTTCTGCAATCATGCTTGTTGGATACTTTCCTTGCAGTATCCTATAGTTTTTAATTCGTTCAATTGCCCGCTCAACATGTATGCGTACAGAGGCAATTCTCCTTGTTTCTGTCTCCTCTTCCACAGTTAACTGGTCTTTACCCCTCATGAAGGCTGGAATGTTTAGTGTGACACCATCCGGTAAGTCCTCCAAAATGTCAAACCCTCGATCAGCCATAACTGAATCACCTTCTTCCAATAATTGTAAAATGCCACTGTGTTTGGTAATACATTGGTCACTTGTTCTACCAGGATACAACTCTGAAACAAAGGTAACTGCTCCATTAGGTGCTATTCCAATAAGACCTTTAGCTGTGTTCTGGTGCTTGTAACTTGAGAACGTTGCACTCTGTGTTCGATATGAAGATGCCATTTCAATAAATAATTCTGTGCAGTCTAAGATGACCCTAGTTGTTGGGTATGAGATTCTAAAACAACTTGGCATGGTTTTCTGGATGGATGCCTTGGATGCCCAGATCGGTATTGCTCTCAAATGCGAATGTAGTATATCTATCCATGTAATGCATATCCGGCTGAGGTGGCTAGTGGACAGTTTGCATCTTACAGCAAGGTCTTGTTCAAGAAGACCACATCTCAACCTTGCTAAGACAATGAACAACTCTTGTTCAGGATTCATTTGTCTCTTTGGACCACGTTTTGAGGACTCTGGAGTGACTGAGTCATCATTTCTGGTGTTTGATCCCCAGTAGTTTATTTTATTAACTGCTGGTCCCAAGAATTCAAAAAATATCTTAAACAAATCATAACTTTGAAACCCAGTATAAAACATAAAAAGCTTTGGATTGTCTTTAAATGTTTCTAGAGAGAATTCATTCTGTTTTAGTTTAAGTTCGGTAATAGTGTTGGTCAATTCCTCAACCTTTTTATTATGCTCTTGCTTAAGTACAGTAATAGTGTTTGTTAAATCCTCTACCTTTTTACTGTGCTCTTTCGTAAGCTGTTCTATTTTCTCTTTTAGTGTTTGGTTTTCCTTTCGTAGTCTTTTCAATTCATTCATAGCTTCCTCCGGCTCCTTGTTTTCGACATCCTGCTCAAAACGTAGTTTCTTTGGTAGTAGAGCTGAACGCATTCTTCCTTCTGAACTATTTCTTGTCGTACGTGGCTTGGCTGTCGTTGGTGTTGTCGACTTTAGCATTGGCACATTTATGGTTGGAATATTGTTCATGTATGTTTTTGTACCTCCAACAAAATGGGCTGAACAAACTCGATGAGAAGACGAAGGGACAAAATTTTTTCTTTTAAGCATGTGGAGCCACTTCTTCCTTAGGTTTGAATCCTTGGGAATAACGTAAAAAGACAATTCTTTATTCCTGATAGAATTGTTGAAACAGTTTGGAACACAGCATGTAATGCCACCACCACTGTGATACGTCGATTTGGGAGTTGATTTTTCCTCCAATGACGGCAATAAACAATCTGAAATACTTCCCAATGGTATCTCAGAAACCAAACTCGTGCAAGAGTTCTGAAAAGAACTAGAGTTTGGCTGAGATGACAGAGAAATAACGCTAGAAGTAGATGGGTCCTCGTCAATAAAATTGGACGCCATATTGGAGCTTGCTGAATACATTTACCACAATCCTTTGCGGCCTTTCGCGAATAAGGGGAACCGGCTATTCGTTTTGTGTGTGTAATCCCCCAGCAAAGCACGGCTGGAGTGCGTAGGGCGTAAACCTATGGCGAGGGCACTAATGTGAAGTCTAAAGGTCATCAATTATCGCAGGCACGTGGCTGTCTTGTCGGTGGACTCACACCTCCCTCATCCACCTAGTTCCTCATGCAATTTGGAAAAGTGCTTCAAAGAGTTTTCTCCCTCAGCCTTTGGACTCGTCTTTCCATATTGCAACTTTCAAAACAGTACAATTATATACCTGTACAAATTGAATCTTATTAAAGAAATGTGTATATTAATGTGTATATAAGATGTGTCCGTATTAGAAAGGGATCCGCATCAGCGTTGTACCCGTGTTAAAGATGTGTCTATATCAGAGAAGCGTGATACTATAGAGAGGTGTCCGTAGTATAAAGGAGTTACCACTCCAAATTTATGTACCTTATCATGTATTTTTTCCCAGGCTTTCTTGATGTCCATGTCGCCATTCTTGTATTTGTCCAATGCATTCCCCATCTCATCTGGAAGGTCATCTTGAACCTAAAAATACACGAATTGATGTTGACCGATCATTTGGCAAGGTAACCTGATGCTAACATGCACTTCGGTCTAATCCCCGAGCCAACGGCGCGAAGCGCCGTGCGAGGATACTAATTCCCCCCGGCTATTTACACCCGGGGAAACGAAACCATTAGCGAAGTCTAAAGTTCATCAGTTATCGCGGGCGTGGGTCACTGTGCGTGTTTCGGTGGGTGGTCATCCTCACTGATCTCATAATATAGCAGACTATTATGAATAGCCAACACTGATTGGTCCAATTTAAAATTGCGACGACAGCGAAATTGATTTGATGATTTCTTGCAAATATATTTCATTTTTGCAAGATTTTGTAAATTTCGAAAGATTTTTGATGAAATAAAGGCAAGAGGATTGCTAAAAGAAGGGAGTAAAGGTGCCGACGTTAACGAAGGTAAGTTTGTTTTAAATATTGATGCATTGTTTGCTTTTAATATATTGTAATCTCGACTGTAATTACTTTAAAAGCCGATCGTTGCGTATAAATATGAAACAAGACAGCGTATTATTTCAGTGTTTCTTTATTGATTACACTTTTTGTTATACTAAGCAAAGTTATTTGCATTGCCATGGGAGAATTTGGAATCCTTTTATTTCGAACTCAAAGTTTATCGATAAAGGCAGTTTAGTTCCATATTAAAAGAACACTTTAAGGTTACAGGATACCCTAGACATGCCTTTCGGGAGATCCGCCAGAACTCGATCAATTTTAATCCAAATTCCATCAAATTTTCACCAAATGTAGTTAGATAAATGTAGTATAAGATGTTCTTATCACATATACGAAAGAATAAATACTTATTCAGATATTTGCCGAAGTCTAAAATCGCGGTACTTCCGCGCCGTGAAGTTTGTTAGACGCCGGTTTTACTCAAATCCTATAAAAATATCATTTTTACTCTTCTCAAAGGTTGTTCTAAAAAACGGTGTTCGCGTTTTGTAGTTGCTTTAGGGGTTCATGAGTTACGGCATATTCATTCCAGACCTATGCTATATTGCAACTAATTGATAACAAAAAGCTTGTAACTTGCTTAT